ACATACACACATACACACATACACACATACACACCCCCACCCCGTACACACATACGCACATACACACCCCCACCCCGTACACACATACGCACATACACACCCCCACCCAATACACACAACTCTCAGGTACATGGTGGTTCGTGACGAGGAGAAGCTGGAGCTGGCCAAGCTGGTGGAGCGGGTGCCCATCCCCGTCAAGGAGGGTCTGGATGAGCCGACAGCCAAGGTCAACGTGCTGCTGCAGGTAAGGGTGTCTGGCGTTCCGTATGTATGTCCGCTGCCCCCGGTGTCTGGCGTCCCAGGTGTCCCAGGGGGGGAACCGAACAGGGTCCTGGGGTTTGCGGCTGCGAGGGGGCCCGGGTAAAACAGGGGGGGGGGAGGACGGGTAAAACAGGGTTGTTTGGCAAGCCGCCAGGTTCCTGATATTGGTGGGCAGGGGCCAACGAGTCCGGGTACTCCACCAGGAGACATGTTCACACCACCACCGGCATCCGACCATCCTGACAGCAGCTGCGGTATCCTAAGCCGGCAGCTGCGGTCCGTGCGGCCCCCCTTGCAAGGGGGCCCTTTAGCAGCGGCTGCAGCTGCACCCGCGCAGGGCGGGGGGCGGGGGATGGGGGTGGGGGTGGCAAGGGTGTTAGGGTGCAGGTGTATGTATGTACATATGTATCTATATGTGCGTGTGAGGGTTGAGCTTTTGTAAACCCCCACTCTTTCGTTTTTTTCTCTCCCCCTGCCCCCACTCCCCCCCGGGGTCACCTTAATCCACCTTAATCTCCCCCCCCCCGCCCCGGGGGGTGCCCGCCCTCTCCCCGGGGTGCCGCCACGTCCTGCCGCCACGGCCTCCTCAGGCGTACATCTCCAACCTGAAGCTGGAGGGTTTGGCCCTGGCCTCTGACATGGTGTACGTCACCCAGTCGGCAGGCCGCCTGATGCGGTGTCTGTTCGAGATCTGCCTGCGCCGCGGCTGGTCGGGCCTTACGGACCGGGCCCTGGCGCTGACCAAGATGGTCAACTACCGGATGTGGGGCAGTCAGAGCCCGTTGCGGCAGTTCAAGGGCGTGCCGAATGGTAAGGAGGCGGGGAAAGTGGCGGAGGGGGGGATAGAGGGGGGAGGGGTGTATGAGACGGCGATGGCGATATTGAAAACGAAGAGGGGTATAAGGGGAGGGGGATCAGGGAGGAGGAGGAGGAGGAGGAGGAGAAGTTCAAGCGATTCTTCTCAAACCAACCTGCCAATCAGGTCCCCTCCAAAAAGAGGCTGATGATGAACGCGGCTCCTTCATATCATTGATTTTTGAAATTTTTAGCTGCGGGGCGCTTCCGGCCTTTCTGGCCTTACGCGCCGCTCCCCCCCAACCCGTCTGTCCACCGCCTCCTCCTCCTCCTCCTCACGCATCTCTCTCGTTCCTTGCCACAGTTCCCTTTTCTTTTCCTCCTCCCCCTCTCCTCCTCCACTCTCCTCCTCCCCCTCTCCTCCTCCACTCTCCTCCTCCCCCTCTCCTCCTCCACTCTCCTCCTCCCCCTCTCCTCCTCCACTCTCCTCCTCCCCCTCTCCTCGTCCCCCTGCCCTGCCCTGCCCTGCCCTGCCCTGCACAGACGTGTTGGTGAAGCTGAGAAGCGCGACCTGCCCTGGGAGCGGTTCTACGACCTGACCAGCCAGGAGCTCGGGGAACTCATCCGACTGCCGAAGATGGGGAAGAGCCTGCACAAACTCATACACCAGTTTCCCAGGTGGGGGTAGGGGATAGGGAAGGAGGAAGGGGAGGAGGAAGGGGAGGAGGAGGGGACGGGGTGAGAAGGGAGTATCGTGCAATTAAATGTGCAATTATCAACTTATTTTGCCGATGGCCCATCAAACAGGACGAAGCGTGGACGGGAATGTGTGTGTGTGTATATGGGGGGTGGTGGTAAAAATCCGACTGCCGGAGGTGTCACTTCCCCTCCTCCCCACCCCCCCGGGCCCCCCCCGCCCCCCCGTATGAATATAAATTCATATACACAAAACACACACGCACGTGTTCCCTGGACCCGCACACCCATCACCTCACACAGCCTTTCCCCCCCTCCCCCCTCGCTGGGGTATGGGGATGGGGATGGGGAATGGAGAGAGCTGCTGCTGCTGCCGGCCCGCCCGCCCACACCCCTCTCCCCCCTCTCCCCCCTATTCAGGTTGGAGCTGGCCGCCCACGTCCAGCCCATCACCCGCACCTGCCTCAAGGTGGATCTGACCATCACCCCGGACTTCGCCTGGGAGGACAAGGTGCACGGATACGTGGAGCCCTTTTGGATTTTTGTAGAGGACCAGGTGCGTCTTGTCTGTATGTATGTGTGTATGTATGTGTGTATGTATGTGTGTATGTACTTGTGTGTGTCTGTCTGTCTGTATGTGTGTGTTACATCGTGGTCGTGGGGGTACGAACCCCCCCCCCACACACACACCTGTAACCCGCCAAAATACGAGCCGAGGGCTTAAAGGCTGCCGGATCGCATCACCCCTACAAGCACCCTCCTACCTCGCACTTCAGACAAAGCAAGTGATCCCTGAAGGAGACTAACGACCGTATCTATGTCCGCACCCACCCACCCACCCACCCACGCACCCACCCCTCCCATTCAGGACTCCGAGCTCATCCTCCACCACCA